GGGGAATTCTGGGAGTTGAAGTCCACCCATCTGAAAGTCACCAAGGTTGAGAAACACTGGAGCAGAGGGTTGGAGTCAACAGTTCCAACTCTTTGATCCCATGCTTTGCTAGAATTGCCATATCTGGGCTACAAAAATCCAGGTGACCACTAGATGAATTTTTGCAGCCCAGGTATGACAACCCTCTTTAAGAAGAAACACAAGATTCAATGCAATAAGGGCAAAATCCAGGCTACTGAAGAATGGGAAGAAAGTATTGGTGAACTCTAGAGGGGTGCAGAACCTATATTTTGTAGTCTTCTCTTTAAAACTCTCCTTGAAAGTAGCAAGCTGTTGAGCATGCAAAAAAATCTATTGACATCTAAAGTGCAGTGACCCATAAGTCAAATTCCCAATTGAGGGTTTGAGCCCCATGGAAAGATAATGGCTATGTATGTCTGATGAGTCCAAATATGGCTGCCTGAGGAATTCTGGGAGTTGAAGTCCACCCATCTGAAAGTTGCTGAGGTTGAGAAACACTGTTATAAGATGAAACTGATCGTATACTGCCTCCTGGTGGTCAATATGTAAAAACATACTGGATATACACTATAAAAACAGAAATTTCCCCCCTCTTGGGGCAGTGGAATTTGTGTAAACTCTTGTACAAAGAGACATGACACCCCTATCTCTCTGAGACCTTAAGGTTAAGCTTAAGGAATAAATGTGTATTCTATTTTGATAGACAGCTAAACGTGGAGCATCAAATAGGGAACTGTCAGCCCAGAGGTGGACCAGACCTGGACACCAAAGTCATGAATACTAACACTACTTTTATTATAGGGTTACGGTAACAGAATCTTGCAAGTCTGAGCATGCTTTGCTCCTCCCTTCCTTTAACTTCCCAAGAACTAGGGAGGGTCCCATCTGAGATGTTTTCTCCACCTCTGTTCCTGCTTTGGACTCGGATTTCTCTTATCTGACTGTTGCCTTGGCTGTGGCTCTTCCTCCTGTTCCTCAAGGTTATTCTCACAGCCCATTCAAGGAACTTATGTCTTCCAGAATGGAATGGAGCTCTTGGGAGAAGCATATTTGCCTGGCTAAGTGGAATTAGAACCGGAGCATTCCTATAAGGAAGTGAGATTGTGGTGCCGCAGTTTGGTTGAAGACGCCGGGAAAACTATGTGCTCTTTCAATCAAACAGCCCAGTCCCTGTTTAACTGAATCGTCGTCAGGCTCAGCCCAAAGAACTCCACGAGACAATGCAAATACAGTTCTGTTGCGTTTATTAGCTTCCA